GCACAGACGGCATTCAACTAGAATAGCTGCTAAAAATGCTGAGCTAATTGGGAGACGCCCTAGCAACTCCTGTGTTGGGAATTCAGGGAAATAAATCAGAAGCAGGAGCAGTCAGCTTTCGCTGATAACAACGACCCTGATACTGATGTTTTCAATGGAATCTGTTTTGTGTCTGCTGCTAAGGACTTGGTTGTACAATGAAAGGCTGGTGTTTCTTTTGGGACTTTGTAAGAGACTTTGATTTGTGTCTGGATTAAGACTTCCTTGTTTTCTTTTGCACTTTTCAATTGCATTTGCTTATACTTTGCTGAAGTAAAGCATTTTTCTTTCACTTACAACATTGTCTAAAGGCTGTTTTTGGAGGGCAACTCTGGACACCTGGAGAGAGTTGTTTTGGAATCTCCTGGCAGTTCCCACAAGACTGGAGAAAGCGATACCAGTTCTCATGAGAGCCTGCCAGAAGTGCAGATGGAGAGAATGGGGGAGGCAAATGTTTGTCTAGGTCAAGGCGCTTGGAATTATGGAGACAGGGCATGCAGCAAAGATAGACTTGCTTTTACCAGAAGCTTAGAGATAATGAAACTTGTGCGCCAGCTGCGCCCGTACCTTGGGAAGTCTGACTTGGCCATGGTGGTCCACGCTCTGGATACATCCCTAATAGACACTGCACCGCACTCTACATGGGGTTGCCTCTGAAGACTGTTCGGAAGCTCCAACTAGTCCAACACTCAGGAGCCAGGTTGCTCACGGAGCGGGGTACAGGGAGCGCACAACTCGCCTGTTACACCAGCTCACTGGCTGCCAATTAGCTTCCAAGCACAATTCAAAGTGCTGGTTTTAACCTACAAAACCCTATACGGCTCTGACCTGGTTTACCTATCCGAACGTACCTTCCCCTATAAATCATCAAGGACTTTAAGATCTTCCGGAGAGGCCCTGCTCTTGATCCCACCACCTTTGCAGACACGTTTGATGGGGATGAGAGACAGGGCTTTCTCTGTGGTGGCCCCCCAGCTATGGAACTTTCTCCCTGGTGAGATTAGGTCTGCCCCCTCTCTCCTGTCCTTCAGGAGGCAGCTAAAATCCTGGTTTTTGAGGCAAGCATTTGCAGATTGATATAGACTAAGAATTATTGACCACAACGGTCTTCACTGAGTTGGATGTTGTTTTTAACGTAATGAATTGTTTTATATGTATTTTATTATGTTATTTATTGTATTGCATTTAATTTTGCTGTTAGCCGTTCTGAGTCCTTCCACGGAGGTAGAGAAGAACTGGATATAAAAGTTATAAATAAATAAAATAAATGAGAAGAGAAGCAGGTGTGCGAGAAATGATGTTATGGGAGAGATGGAGGCCTTTTATAACGGTTCCTGCTGGGACAATCCTTTGTGAGAGCAACGTTGTATTCAGGTGAACAACTCTCGGTTTTTGGCCCTATGTTCTTGGTATTCGTGGATTCAAATTTCTAAGCGTGTTCTTGCTTCTAGTTCATATGTGGCAAAGGTTGCCTGCCTTGGATTCATGCTATCTTGCTTATGGATATATTGGTGGATTGACTCTGGAGACTGTATTTGAAAGGACTTTGGACTCTCAACTCTTGGGAAGTCGGATCTGGCCACGGTGGTCCACGCTCTTGTTACATCCCGAATAGATTACTGCAACGTGCTCTACGTGGGGTTGCCTTTGAAGACCGGAAACTTCAATTAGTCCAACGGGCGGTGGCTAGATTGCTCACCGGAGCGTCATACAGGGAGCATACCGCTCCTCTGCTACGTCAGCTCCACTGGCTGCTGATCCAGTTCCGGGCACAATTCAAAGTGCTGGTTTTGACCTACAAAACCCTTTACGGTTCCGGCCCAGCATACCTGTCCGAACATATCTCCTTCTACGTCCCACCTTGGAGTTTAAGATCTGCTGAGGGGGCCCTGCTCTCGGCCCCACCTTTATCACAAGCGAGACTGGTGGGGACGAGGGACAGGGCCTTCTCGGTGGTGGCCCCTCACCTGTGGAATGCACTCCCCAGGGATATTAGGACATCAACATCCCTCCTCTCCTTCAGGAAAAAGCTAAAAACCTGGATGTGGGACCAGGCCTTCGGGTAAGCTGGCAGATGGACAAAGACAACCAATAATGACCAGAGTAGGAAAGGACAAGGACGATGCTAAATGGTTTACGGACTTGGATTTGGTGAACACTGAACACAAGATGTTTTTATTGATGCTAGTTTACTATCTGATTGTTTTAATCAGTTATAACTGTGATATTATGTGTTAAATTTGTGTATTGTATATTGCATTGTATGTTGTAATTGTTAGGCATCGAATTGTGCCTTTTGTAAGCCGCCCTGAGTCCCCCCCCCCCTCGGGGGTTGAGAAGGGCGGGGTAGAAGCACCCCAAGTAAATAAATAAATAAAACATGCAATCACCGTGGAGTGTGGAAGAGCCCTCGGTCTGGAGAGCAGTTGAAATTGTGCAAAACATGGCCCGCAGGTTGGGTGACGTTGCTCTAACCGCAACGTTTGCTGGAAGAGATAAGTCTATTTCTGGAAGGAGGGCACTTCCTTTTCTCTGCCCGTTGCCTCCCCACAGCTTCCGCCTTTCCTATCAAGGGGTCAGGGCACAGGGAGGGGAGCGAGAGGTCGCTTGGCCCATTTATCCATGGATACTCATTGCACGCTGAAGAGCCTTTGCACGAAAAATGCGCTGCAAATGTTGATGGGTCCAGAATGGAAGCTGAGGCCCCGTCTACTCTGCCATATGACGGAGTTCCAGCATGCACAATCAAAGCATTCCTTACAGATGGCCCTCCAAACTCTGCTAAAAAGCCTCCAAAGAAGGGGCCTCCACCACACTCCCTCCGGGGTAGAGAGAGAGTTCCACTGCTGAACAGCTCTCTCTCACAGTCGGGAAGAGGTGGCATCTCCTTTCTTTCCTGTCGTTTGAAGCCATTGCTCCATTGCGTCCTAGTCTCCAGGGCAGCAGAAAGGAAGCCCCCTCCCTCCTCCCTAGGACTTCCCCTCACCTGTTGGTCCCGTCTGCAAATGTGATGATCATGCCTTCTAACCCTTCATCTAAGTCATGAATCGAGATCCTGAACAAGAGCACCTCCCCATAGCCGGAGTTGACCAGCGCCTCCAAAAGCCGGACATGAAAGGGGAAGCCTTTACCTCTGTTCTGTGTATTTGTGTATCATTGTTATTCCACTGTATTAAAGACATTGAATATTTGCATACCTGTGTAGTAATCTGCTCTGAGTCTCCTCGGGGAGATAAAGTGGAATATACATAAAGTGTTGTTGTTGTTGTTAGAGCGGAATATACATAGTTTTGTTAGAGCAGAATATACATAAAGTGTTGTTGTTAGAGCGGAATATACGTAAAGTGTTGTTGTTAGAGCGGAATATACATAGTGTTGTCAGAGCAGAATATACATAAAGTGTTAGAGCGGAATATACGTAAAGTGTTGTTGTTAGAGCGGAATATACATAGTGTTGTTAGAGCAGAATATACATAAAGTGTTGTTAGAGTGGAATATACATGAAGTGTTGTTAGAGCAGAATATACATAAAGTGTTGTTGTTAGAGCGGAATATATGTGAAGTGTTGTTAGAGCAGAATATACATAAAGTGTTGTTAGAACGGAATATACATAAAGTGTTGTTAGAGTAGAATATACATAAAGTGTTGTTGTTAGAGCGGAATATATGTAAAGTGTTGTTAGAGCAGAATATACATAAAGTGTTGTTGTTAGAGCGGAATATATGTGAAGTGTTGTTAGAGCAGAATATACATAAAGTGTTGTTAGAACGGAATATATGTAAAGTGTTGTTAGAGCAGAATATACATAAAGTGTTGTTGTTAGAGCGGAATATATGTAAAGTGTTAGAGCAGAATATACATAAAGTGTTGTTGTTAGAGCGGAATATATGTGAAGTGTTGTTAGAGCAGAATATACATAAAGTGTTGTTAGAACGGAATATATGTGAAGTGTTGTTAGAGCAGAATATACATAAAGTGTTGTTGTTAGAGCGGAATATATGTAAAGTGTTGTTAGAGCAGAATATACATAAAGTGTTGTTAGAACGGAATATACATAAAGTGTTGTTAGAGCAGAATATACATAAAGTGTTGTTGTTAGAGCGGAATATATGTAAAGTGTTAGAGCAGAATATACATAAAGTGCTGTTGTTAGAGCGGAATATATGTGAAGTGTTGTTAGAGCAGAATATACATAAAGTGTTGTTAGAACGGAATATACATGAAGTGTTGTTAGAGCAGAATATACATAAAGTGTTGTTGTTAGAGCGGAATATATGTAAAGTGTTGTTAGAGCAGAATATACATAAAGTGTTGTTAGAACGGAATATACATAAAGTGTTGTTAGAGCAGAATATACATATAGTGTTGTTGTTAGAGCAGAATATGCATAAAGTGTTGTTAGAGTGGAATATACATAAAGTGTTGTTGTTAGAGTGGAATATACATAAAGTGTTGTTGTCAGAGCAGAATGTATATAAAGTGTTGTTGTTAGAGTGGAATATACATAAACTGTTCTTCTTGTTAAAACCAAATATACATAAGCTGTTGTTATTACAGCAGAATATACATAAAGTGTTGTTGTTATATTAGTCTACATGGCCATATATTCCAGTTCAAAGCAGATAATTTGGATTTTATCTAGCAGTATAGATGGGACGTCATGTAATCCAGTTCAAAGCAGGTCATGTGGATTATCTGTTTTGATAATCTGGATTATATGGCAGTCCAGAAAGGGCCCGAACTGCTTTGAGTCTCATGGAAGAGAGGAAAGCTGGTTAATAACGATAATTATACTACTACTACTACTACTACTACTACTACTACTACTGCTATTACTCATAATAACCCTTTCCAAGGGACCAGCCCAATACGGTCAAAGGAGGGACCAACAACCATGGCAGAGTTGCCAAGACATAACAATGACACAGAGTCAAGGCAGTGCGCATGTGCTGCTACATACGTCCGCCGCCTTCTTCTCCGCCAACTCGAGCTTCTCCTGCGCGTCTTTCAGGGCCTCCGAGTATTTGTCCAGTTCGTCTTCCGTCCCTTTCAGCTTCTTCTGCATGGCGGCCAGTTCGTCCTCCAGCTGGGAACAGGAAAGCAGGATGGGAGGAAGGAGAAAGAGAGAAAGGGAGGTCTTGTTTAGTGCTTGGTCTATCTTGGGGGATCCCTCCATGTTCTGTGAAAGTCCTTTTATGGTGGAGGTCACCCAAGCTTTGGGACACATAAATGGAGCCATTTCCATCCAAGTCTGAGCTGGGCTTCCTGACATTGCCTATGGCAGGCATGCCTAAAGCCTGGCCCGCGGGCTGACTGCAGCCCATGTTCAAAGCTCCACTGACCCACAGCCTCTGCCATAAAAATCAATAATATGTAGCCTGCCAGCATTGTTGTCCCTTCACTGCCTCTTTCTCCCTCCTTCCATTCCCTTCCACCCTTTCGTCCGTCCTTCCTTTTCTCTTTCCTTCTTCCCTGCCATCCTTTCCTTCCACCCTTCCGTTCTTCCCTCCCTTTTGTCTTTCCTTCTTTCTCTCCCTCCCTTCCTTCCCTCTTTCTACTTCTATCCTTCCCTTCCACCCTTTCGTCCTTCCTTCCTTCCCTTGCTCCCTCTTTCTCCTTTCTTCTTTCCTTCCTTCTCACTTTCCTTCACCCTTCCCTTACTTCCATTTTCCTCCATTCCGTCCTTCCTTCCTTCCTTTCCACTCTTTCTCCTTTCTTCTTTCCTTCCCTTTAGTCTTTCCTTCCTTCTCTCTTTTCTTCACCCTTGCCTTCCTTCCTTCCATTTTCTCTTCCTCCCTTTTGTCCTTCCTTCCTTTCCACTCTTTCGTCTTTCCTTTCTTTCCTCTTTCCTCCCTCTTTCTCCTTCCTTCCCTTTAGTCTTTCCATCCTTCTCTCTTTCATTTATCCTTCCCTTCCTTCCTTCCATCCTTCCCTTCCACCCTTTTGTCATTCCTTACCTCACTCCTTCTTTCTCCTTTCTTCTTTCCTTTTTGTCTTTCCTTCCTTCTCTCTTTCCTTTATTCTTCCCTTTCTTCCTTCCATCTTCCTCTTCCTCCCTTTCATCCATCCTTCCTGCCTTTCCAATATTTCCTCTTCCCTCCCTCTTTCTCCTTCCTTTCCTTCATCCTTCCCTTCCTTCCTCCCTTCCATCCATCCATCCTTCTCTACCTTCCTTTTGTCCTTCCTTCCCACTTTCCTCCCTCCTTCCCTTGCTCCCTCCTTCCCTTGCTCCCTCTTTCTCCTTCCATCCTTTTCTTCTACGCTTTCGTCCTTCCTTCCTTCCCTCTTTCCTCCTCTTTCTCCTTCCTTCCTTCCCTTTTGTCTTTCCTTCCTTCTCTCTTTCCTTTATCCTTCCCTTCCATCCTTTCATCTTCCTTCATTCCCTCTTTCCCCCTCTTCCTCCTTCCTTCCTTCCCTTTTGTCTTTCCTTCCTTCTCCTTTTCCTTTATCCTTCCCTTCCATCCTTTCATCCTTCCTTTCTTCCTTCCCTTTTGTCTTTCCTTCTTTCCTTTTCCTTTATCCTTCCCTTCCTTCCTCCCATCCATCCTTTTCTACCTCCCTTTCATCCTTCCTTCCTTCTCTTCCTCCCTTTCGTCCTTCCTTCCCTCTCTCATTCTTTCCTCTTCCTTTCCTTTTGTCTTTCCTTCCTTCTCTCTTTCCTTTTATCCTTCCCTTCCATTCTTCTTTCCTTCTTTCTTTCCTTCCTTCCTTCCTTCCTTCCTTCCTTCCTTCCTTCCTTCCGTCTTTCCCCCTTCTTTCTCCTTCCTTCTTCCCTTCCCTTTTGTCTTTCCTTCTTTCTTTTTCCTTTTTTCCTCCCCCCCCTTCTTTCTCCTTCCTTCTTTTCCCTTCCCTTTTGTCTTTCTCCTTCTTTCTTTTTCCTTTATCCTTCCTTCCATCCATCCTTTCCTACCTCCCTTTCATCCTTTCTTCCTTCTCCTCCTCCCTTTCGTCTTTCCTTCCTTCCCTCTCTCCCTCTTTCCCCTTCCTTCCCTTTTGTCTTTCCTTCCTTCTCTCTTTCCTTTATCCTTCCCTTCCATCCTTTCGTCCTTCCTTCCGTCTTTCCCCTTCTTTCTCCTTCCTTCTTTCCTTCCCTTTTGTCTTTCTTTCTTTCCTTTTCCTTTATCCTTCCCTTCCTTCCTTCCATCCATCCTTTTCTACCTCCCTTTCGTCCTTCCTTCCTTCCCTCTCTCATTCCTTCCCCTTCCTTTCCTTTTGTCTTTCCTTCCTTCTCTCTTTCCTTTTATCCTTCCCTTCCATCCTTTCTTCCTTCCTTCCTTCCTTCCTTCCTTCCTACCTTCATTCCTTCCTTCCGTCTTTCCCCCTTCTTTCTCCTTCCTTCTTTCCTTCCCTTTTGTCTTTCCTTCTTTCTTTTTCCTTTATCCTTCCATCTATCCTTTCCTACCTCCCTTTCATCCATTCTTCCTTCTCTTCCCCCCATTCGTCTTTCCTTCCTTCTCTCTTTCCTTCCTCCTTCCTTCCATCAGGGAGTGCTATCATGCGCCCCCCAAAATTGGAAATGTTGCCCTGGCCTTCTTTCCAGAGACCCGGCGTGACCCCTCCCCTCCTCACCTGCTTGCTCCTCTCCTCCGCCTGCTTCTGCTCGGCCTCGGCCTGCTCCGCCCGGTCCAGGGCGTTCTCCTTGTCCAGCTTCAGCATCTGCATCTTCTTCTTGATGGCCTCCATGGTGGCGGCGGTGGTGGTGGTGGTGGGGCGGTGGGGCGAGGGGCTGGAGCTGCGCAGGGAGGCTGGGGGTCTCCGTCTGTGGCCGCAGTCTCCCTCCCCTTGGAGCCGGGGACGGGGCTTTTATGCCTGGCTGGCACCCCTCCGGGCCCAACGGCCTCTCCGCCGCCCTGGCACCGGCCGAGGGCAGCGTGGGAGACGTGGGCCCTGGCCATATTTGGCCTCCCCAGGGGACAGCTGGGCACCAGGAATAGAAAGACCACCCAGAGGGAGGGAGGGAGGGATGGAGGGAAGGGGCCGCTGCTCCTTTGTCCACCCACCTGGCCCTTGTCTTTTCACGGCTCGGCAGGTGCAAGAAGGCCCTCGAGGGGAGTGCATCGGGCCAGGGCCTTGTCCTCACCACGGCCGGGTCAGCGGACCACAGGGTCAGAAGAGACCCCCAAAGAGGGCCAGCCAGTCCCACCCCCTTCGGCCAGGCAGCAAGGCACCACCCTGACCAATGGTCTTCCAGCCTCTGGAGATAGAGAGAAAGAGAGAGAATAATACAATGCTAGAGTTGGAAGAGAACCCAGAGAAGGCCATCCAATCCAACCCCCTTCTGCCAGGCAGGAGGACACCATCACAGACCTTCATAGAAAAAGATATAAATAGATAGGTAGAACCATAGAATCATAGAATCCTGGAGTTAGAAGAGACCTCCAAGGGCCATCCAATCTAACCTCCTTCTGCCAGGCAGGAGGACACCATCAAAGACCTTCATAGAAAGAGATATAGACAGACAGACAGACAGACAGATAGAATCATAGAGTCCTGGAGTTGGAAGAGACCTCCAAGGACCATCCAATCCAACCCCCTTCTGCCAGGCAGCAAGGCACAACCCAAGCCCTCCTGACCAATGGTCTTCCAGCCTCTGGAGATAGAGAGAAATAGAGAGAATAATACAATGCTAGAGTTGGAAGAGAACCCAGAGGCCATCCAGTCCCACCCCCTTCTGCTAGGCTGGAGGACACCATCAAAGACCTTCATAGAAAGAGAGGGAGAGAGAGATAGAATCATAGAATCCTGGAGTTAGAAGAGACCTCCAAGGGCCATCCAATCTAACCTCCTTCTGCCAGGCAGGAGGACACCATCAAAGACCTTCATAGAAAGAGATATAGACAGACAGACAGACAGACAGACAGATAGATAGATAGATAGATAGAATCATAGAGTCCTGGAGTTGGAAGAGACCTCCAAGGACCATCCAATCCAACCCCCTTCTGCCAGGCAGCAAGGCACAACCCAAGCCCTCCTGACCAATGGTCTTCCAGCCTCTGGAGATAGAGAGAAAGAGAGAGAATAATACAATGCTAGAGTTGGAAGAGAACCCAGAGAAGGCCATCCAATCCAACCCCCTTCTGCCAGGCAGGAGGACACCATCACAGACCTTCATAGAAAGAGAGATCGATAGATCGATAGATAGATAGATAGATAGATAGATAGATAGATAAATAGATAGATAGAATCATAGAATCCTGGAGTTGGAAGAGACCTCCAAGGGCCATCCAATCCAACCCCCTTCTGCCAGGCAGCAAGGCACAACCCAAGCCCTCCTGACCAATAGTCTTCCAGCCTCTGGAGATAGATAGAAATAGATAGAATAATACAATGCTAGAGTTGGAAGAGAACCCAGAGAAGGCCATCCAATCCAACCCCCTTCTGACAGGCAGGAGGACACCATCACAGACCTTCATAGAAAAAGATATAAATAGATAGGTAGAACCATAGAATCATAGAATCCTGGAGTTAGAAGAGACCTCCAAGGGCCATCCAATCTAACCTCCTTCTGCCAGGCAGGAGGACACCATCAAAGACCTTCATAGAAAGAGATATAGACAGACAGACAGCTAGATAGATAGATAGAATCATAGAGTCCTGGAGTTGAAAGAGACCTCCAAGGACCATCCAATCCAACCCCCTTCTGCCAGGCAGCAAGGCACAACTCAAGCCCTCCTGACCAATGGTGTTCCAGCCTCTGGAGATAGAGAGAAAGAGAGAGAAGAATACAACGCTAGAGTTGGAAGAGAACCCAGAGAAGGCCATCCAATCCAACCCCCTTCTGCCAGGCAGGAGGACACCATCACAGACCTTCATAGAAAGAGAGAGAGAGAGAGAGAGAGAGAGAGAGATAGATAGATAGATAGATAGATAGAATCATAGAATCATAGAATCCTGGAGTTGGAAGAGACCTCCAAGGGCCATCCAATCTAACCTCCTTCTGCCAGACAGGAGGACACCATCAAAGACCTTCATAGAAAGAGATATAGACAGACAGACAGACAGACAGACAGACACATAGATAGAATCATAGAGTCCTGGAGTTGGAAGAGACCTCCAAGGGCCATCCAATCTAACCTCCTTCTGCCAGGCAGGAGGACACCATCAAAGACCTTCATAGAAAGAGATATAGACAGACAGACAGACAGACAGACAGATAGATAGATAGATAGATAGAATCATAGAGTCCTGGAGTTGGAAGAGACCTCCAAGGACCATCCAATCCAACCCCCTTCTGCCAGGCAGCAAGGCACAACCCAAGCCCTCCTGACCAATGGTCTTCCAGCCTCTGGAGATAGAGAGAAATAGAGAGAATAATACAATGCTAGAGTTGGAAGAGAACCCAGAGAAGGCCATCCAGTCCCACCCCCTTCTGCCAGGCAGGTGGACACCATCAAAGACCTTCATAGAAAGAGAGATCGATAGATAGATAGATAGATAGATAGATAGATAGATAGATAGATTCATAGAATCATAGAATCATAGAATCATAGAATCCTGTAGTTGGAAGAGACCTCCAAGGGCCATCCAATCCAACCCCCTTCTGCTAGGCTGGAGGACACCATCAAAGACCTTCATAGAGAGATAGACAAACAGATAGATAGAATCATAGAATCATAGAATCCTGGAGTTGGAAGAGACCTCCAAGGGCCATCCTATGAAACCCCCTTCTGCAGGAAAGGCACAATCCAAACCCTCCAGACAGATAGACTTCCAGCCTCTGCTTCAAGACCTATAGAGAATGAGATAGATAGATAGATAGATAGATAGATAGATAGATAGATAGATAGATAGAATCCTAGTGTTGCAAGTCGCCCCAAAGAATGTCATCCTTTCCAACCACGTTCTGCCATAAGAGATAGAAAGAGAAAGAATTCGAATCCTAGAGCCGGAAGGGACCCAAAGAGAGCCATCTAGTCCAACTACCTTCTGCCATAACAGAGAGAGAGAGAGAGAGAGAGAGAGAGAGGTGGAATCCTAGAGTTGAAAAGGGCCCCAAAGAAGGTCATCCAGTCCAACCCCCTACTGCCATAATAGACAGACAGACAGACAGATAGATAGAGTTGGAAAGGGCCCCCAAAGAAGGTCATCCAGTCCAACCCCCTACTGCCATAATAGACAGACAGACAGACAGACAGAGTTGGAAGGGGTCCCAAAGAAGGTCATCCAGTCCAACGCCCTTCTGCCATAATACATAGAGAGATAGACCTAATCTTAGAGTTGGAAGAGAGATAGACCTAATCTTAGAGTTGGAAGGGACCCAAAGAGGGCCATCCTGTCCAACTACCTTCTGCCACAATAGAGAGAGAATCCTAGAATTGGAAGGGGTCCCAAAGAAGGCCATCCAGTCCAACCCCCTTCTACCATAATAGATAGATTGTGATAGATAGGTAGAGATGGAGAGATAGATAGGATCCTAGAGTTGGAAGGGGCCCCAAAGAAGGCCATCCAGTCCAACCCACTTCTGCCATAATATTATATACTAGCTGTATCCGCCACGCTTGCTTCCCTCCCTCTTTCTCTCCTTTCTTTCTCTCCTTCCTTCCTTCCTTCCTTCCTTCCTTCCTTCCTTCCCTCTTTCCTCCCTTCCTTCTCCTTTTCTTTCGTTCTCTCCTTCCTTCCTTCCTTCCTTCCTTCCTTCCTTCCTTCCTTCCTTCCTTCTTTCTCTTCCTCTTCCCTTCCTTCACCCCCTTTTTCTTTCCCTTCCTCTTTCTCCCCTGTCTTCCTTCTCTACCTATTCTTGGACTGCAATTCCCAGCAGTCCTCCTGATCAGTCTATCTGCCTACCTATCTGTCTATCTCTATCTAATCTATCTATCTATTTGGAGGATTGCTGGGAGTTGCAGTCCAGGAATAGGAAATGGGAAATCTGCAGGGATTGGGATGCCCTCAAAGAAATCCAAGGAGAAGAAAGCTTGCAGCTTGGAAGCAGCGCATTTGGATCATCCTCTTCTCCTAAAGGGCATGGTCTAGGGATGCTGGGAGCTGTAGTCCGGAGTGTGGATATGCTATTGTGTGTTTTGTTTGCCAGGGGGAGTCATTTTGCGCATGCACTGTAGCGTCTTTTTGTCTTTTTAAGTCCCTTCCGCTATGTTTTGCAGTGTTTTTATGCGTGATGGTCACTCGCTGGCCTGAGAGGTGTCGTGTGTCCAAATTTGGTGTCAATTCGTCCCATGGTTTTTGAGTTATGTTAATCCCTCAGACGAACATGACATTTTTATTTATATAGATATAGATAGAATGTTGTGTGTGTTTGCATGTTTTCGTATCTCTCTTCCAAAAGAGCTGATGGCAACACATTACATCTTGCAGTCTCCAAAGCTCTCCTCTGGGTGGGATTAATCATAATGCGAAGATATGCTACGATGACTCCATGCTCACATGGAATTAATGACGTGGTAGGGGAACAAGCCGTCTTTGCCGCAAGAGTCAGATTATAGCAGTCGAGATCCAAAAGTCTTCTCTTGCCTGACCTGCATTAAGAGTGCTTCCAAAGGCAGGCCCATGGCTTGGATTTTTGTGTGAATAATCAAAGAATGCCGTTCTGAAATAAAAGGATCATAACAGAGAGGGAATGTAGCATTTTGCTAGTTTCCGATCACGAGGGGAATTTTGAAACCTGTGGGCTGCCTCTGACCAGAGGTTGCTTGTGGCCCCAGAATAATTATTGGGTGTTATGGCTCACTTTGAGCCTGAGTTTC